TTTTTTTTTTTTTTTTCAAAAGTAATCTATATTCTTCTCTCAGTCTATTTCATCTTTCTTGGTGGTACGCATCTATCTCATCCTCTCACTAGTCTATTTATAGTACGGGGGAACACCAACCAACCCGGATCTCTCCCCAGCTGTGGGCCGAGAGCAAGGCTGTACCAGTCCCTCATCACGGTGACGAGGGGTGGGCAGGCATTGCCGATGGGGGTAATCGGCGGTGCTAGCGCCCAGCAATGGCCAGTCACTGCACCTCCCCCTACCCCCCCCAACCCATATGGCGGTGTCTGATGGCCAATATTGTCGCTGCATAGCAGCCGACAACATCAGCCAAGGTCCTCCCAATTCGTCGAGCTAATAAGTAAGGGCTGCGAACTAAATGCACCGCAGTCTCGAACCCACAACCTCCTGATTGCCACTTGCGCGCCTCACCAAACTGGATCTCGAAACAAAAACCGAACTTCTCAAATGCGGAAACAGCGTCGCACATCACTATAGGAGGCTACCGTCTTCCCCCGAACATAATTCACCCTAAAAATGAATGTATACAAGCTATATTCGCGGCCAGATACCGCCAGAATAAGGGTGCGTTGTGTTCGGGGGAAGACGGGAGGAGCGTAGCAAACAGTGCTATTTTAGTAGTGCCCGGTCCCCTGTCCCAGGAGAGGGCCAACGCACCAATCGGCCCCTGGACACTCCGCCATGCCGCGGGAAACGGCGGGCTCCCAACTCGCGCCCGTTTCCAGTCTTCAAAACCTGAAATTTTCGCAGCTCGCCCATTTTTCTTTTGGGCCACGAAAAAAAGTGCCGCGCGGCGAGTCCTCGCCCGCGATCGATCCTGTGCGCGCCGGAACAGCCAATCAGCGTCGAGCAGCATTTTGGCGGCCGCTATATATTCTGCGTGTTGCTCTGATCTCAACGTTCATTTGTGCTTTTTCAGGTGGCTGTTGAAAGGTAATTGCGTCTGCGCAGTGTTCGTCGTACTACGATTTTGGCATCGGTCGATTGAGGCGCCTGTACCTCTTTCTTCTGGCAGTTTCGTACCAGTAGACTTGTTGACTTGTGGCTATGGCGCCGAAGGAAGCAGCGAAGAAGGCGGAGAAGAAGCCCGTCAAGGCGGAGAAGAAGGTGGTGAAGGAGGGCGGCAAGAAGAAGAGAGTAAAGAAGTCGACCGAGACGTACAAGATGTACATCTACAAGGTTCTGAAGCAGGTTCATCCTGACACTGGTATATCGAGCAAGGCGATGAGCATCATGAACAGCTTTGTGAACGACATTTTTGAGAAGTTGGCAGCGGAGTCGTCAAGGCTGGCAAGGTACAACAAGAAGCCAACTATCACGTCTCGGGAAATTCAGACTGCTGTGCGGCTTATTCTACCTGGTGAGCTGGCAAAGCATGCCGTGTCGGAGGGAACCAAGGCTGTCACGAAGTTCACAAGTGCTTGAGCTTCTCCTCATGCTGCGCCGCCTTCTTTACTCGCGTCGCTTACAATTCATGGTGTTTTTTAACACCACCTGTACATTCATGGATATTTGTCTCACCTGATGTTGCACGCTGGACCGTTGGCTCTGGATGTGAATTCAGTGGAAAGCTGAACTGCCTCAACTCTGGAGCGCAAGGGTTGTGATAAGTGAGTACGCTGTGTTTCTTGACAATGATCTTCCCCGCAGAGCGAATTTGATCTTCTAGAGTGATCTTCTCATTTTTGCGGTTCTCCAATGTGGTCGTGCGCTAATTTCCGAGTTTTCTGTTGAGCTTGAGTTCCCTATTGTGCTTCTGTTCTGTGTTGCGTGTTTCTTTATCGTGCATGTTAGCTATTTTGCGTCTTGTCTGTTGTGCGCGGGCTGTAGTTACGCGTTGTATGGAGCTGTCATTGGAGTCATGTACGATGGATTTGTTGTCAGACGCCGTGGGGTTGTAGGAGGTGATCACAGAACGTAGTAATTACGTCATTAGTGAAGCGCCACATCGCGATCCTGGTTTGTTGCTGTCTGAAATATGCTTACAGAGTTGTGAGGATGCTACTAGTCGAATCGTGAGTTGGGTTCGTGGCGATCAATTCTTGCGTGAGCACTTGATGATAATTAAATCCAATGCACTGGGGCGCAAAAGAGAGAGAGAGAGAGAGAGAGAGAGAGAGAGAGAGAGAGAGAGAGAGAGAGAGAGAGAGAGAGAGAGAGAGAGAGAGAGGTCATGCCCTGTCCGATGGAAGCTAGGCGACCGATTAGGGTTGGAAAGCTGGGCTCGGGTAATCACACGCTAGACAGCAGATGGGGTTCGGAGAGCAGACCGTGGACGATGGAGTGGTCTCGCCCCTAACCACTCGCCTCTTTTTCATCCGGGAGTGCACAACGCCTCTTTCTCTTTGTAACACTGCACAAAAATTGGCTTTTACCCACCCGATCCTAAACTCTCTCTCTGAGGACATGGGTTTGTCTTTGTTCTTTTCGTTTTGGACTTAACGTGTGCCCGCATCAGCAGAGTTTGGTTCAGAGGTTTTAGGTTCGTTCTTTACGCTGTTCATTTGTTTGTGAAGGAGAGGTTGGAAACGAAATGTATTGTAGTGTGATATTCAGACACACACACCGACGAAACAGTATGGCACAGTCATGCTTTTTTGAGTGTATAGTGCTTATGACAACCCAGAGAGAGAGAGAGAGAGAGAGAGAGAGAGAGAGAGAGAGAGAGAGGCGTGCGGCGGGGATGAAGAGTGCAGAGGGTTGGACTGTGAGGATACGGATGAAGCGGGATAGCATGATACGTGGTGTTCTCGAGAAACATCATTTGTCGAAAAGAGTTCTCTCAGGGCATATTCACACTAGCACTATCTTTAATATATCTAACCACCTTTAACGTCAGACTGGATGTATCTGGCCGCAATTACATCCGAAAAAAGTGGATAAGTGTTGTGTGAGTATGGCCTCAGTATTCACACTAGCACTGTCTTTAATGTATCTGATCACATGTACCGCCAGACCTGGATGTATCTGGCCGCAATGACATCCAAAAATAAGTGATAAGCCTCAGTGTTGTGTCTGTTTGGTCACGTTTGTTCAGGAAAGAAAAGAGTTTTCTCTCAAAAATAAGTGGAGTATGACCTCAGTATGTCTGTTTGGTCACGGTTTGATCAGGACGCAAGGTCGGGACCCCTTAGCTGTTCGTTTGTCTGTGTCAAACGCACATACACTGGGTATCCGTACAGATACGGCTGAAAGTCTGAAGTAGGTGTACAATTACCAAAATGTGCCTTTGTACTTGGTCATCTTTGAATTACCTTTTCTTTTTTTTTTTTCTTTTTTTTTTTTAATAATTACCTTTTCTGAAACTACTCATAAAATCTATGAATCTTTTTTTTTTGATTCGTGGAAGACGGTTACTGACCTGGTTCAAATTACGGCGGCTACATCTGCCTGCGGAATTGGTGGKGGAATTGCGGCGCGCAGGGCATTCTTGCACTTTACTGAAGAGTTGCGTATGTATCTGGTCGGAATAGCGGCCAGACGTTGATGTGTATAAATTTATCACGTTCTGCCGCATTATGTCCTCGAAGAAAGGCAGCTCGTTCTCAGACTCGTTTGTAATATATATGTTTCTTGGAGATGTCGAAAAGGTCGACCGATTTCTATTCTTCCCTCCCCCCCCCCCCCCCCCCCCCCCCCCCTTCCTGGAATATTGTTTCATTCATCTGGTCCGTCGTGTGGATTTGAACATGGGTCTGTAATTCAACAGTTCTTGGGTGTAGCAACTGAGGTAGGCTCGTTGGTGACCGCTCTGTTTTCTTGCACAATACACACGTAGATCTCATACCCTAAGTAATGGCGAGGACTCTCCAAATGTGCAAATGAAACAGGATCTTCCGCTGGAACATGGAAAGGTACATCGCCATATTTTGTCTTTTGTGCTTGTGGAGAGTCGTGCAGCGAGGCACAATGTCCACATCTGATTTCTCTGAAGCACAGAGGCCCAGCTGTGTCTCGGCATCAATCGTTTGGGATATCTTCTCGGGGAATACATAGGGCCTCGCTCCAGTACTCACCAAAGGTGCAAAATGAGGATGAATCTTCCGCTAGAACACGTAACATACATCGCCTTAGTTTTTTGTTTTTTCTGCATGTGGTCAGTAGTGGAGCGAGGCCCTTACGCAGTGAGATCTTTTCGCATGCTTCAGCCCAGAATCACGGAGGTCCTGGATCTCTCTGACGATGATTGCCTCCTAGATTAGTCGAAAATGTCCTAATGTGAGGAGGTGCTTAGTGGTATGGTTGCCGAGTTGGCGGACTGTCCGTTCCCCTTAGCTCTGCCTCTTTTCTTTTTTGGCTTTCGCTCTTTCTTAGCGCGCTATGTTGGAGGCTAAAAATCGCAAACCCTAAACAAAAACATTGCACCAGGGTATAAAAAGAGAAATTTGCACCAGGGTATAATAAGAGAGAAATTTGCACCAGGGTAAATAAAGAGAGAAAATTGCACCAGGGTAAAAAAAGAGATAAAATTGCACCAGGGTAGGTGTCTGAGGGCGAGGTTCTACGGATGCTATGGGCGTGGCAAGAAAGTGGGCGTGGCAAGAAAGTTTGAACCTGGCCGTTTTCTCGACCAAGTTCCGTTCTCTGGACATCTAACTTTTCTGGAATGGACAGAACAAAAAAGCAGCTTCTTGCCTGCGTCCCTGGACGCAGGTATGAGCGTGAAAATGTTCGGCCAATGAAACTGCAACATGCCCACCTCTGACGTCGGGGCTCATCAACAAAAGATGTTCTTTTTTTTTGTCCTTTTCTTAACTGCGTGATTTTTGGATCGCTGATCTTAGAGACCGTTACGGTCCGAGGTGCCGATCGAGAGGCTAGAGACAGTCTTCATTCTGCCTCGCAGCGTGTTTTTTGAGGATTCTGCGGACTGTGCGGGTCAATCTATGTGACTTGTGCTGATGATCGTGCGGTACACTTTTTAGCAGTCTTTCCTCTTCCCCTTCTTATGGGTGGACGATATCACAAATCACAAATCAGAACAAATCATATCACAAATCAGAACAAATCATATCACAAATCAGAACTAATCATATCACAAATCAGAACAAATCAGATTAGAACAAATCCAATCCAATCCAATCCAATCCAATCAAATCAAATAAACTCCGATGGAATTCAATTGCGTCCCCCATATCAATTCGATGACATGCAGTGTTATGCGAATCCAATCGGATGTTATGATGGAGAGACAGCCCACAGCCAGCTCCTCCTAGTAAAAACTGGAACACGAGGGAGAAATGAGAGGGGGCTGGGGGAGGGCGAAAGGTGAACAAAGAACAGCCGCCAGCCCCCTTCCAGTGAGATCGTGCGGGCCAGCGTTTGCCAACGAAAGCAAGCTACCACCCAGCATCGGGGTGACTTGGGGACGTGGATTAAACTATCAAACGCAACACCTACTTCCTCCCCTCCTGATTGATCCACAAATCCCACTATAAGCCAGAGCAGCGTAGGAGTAGCTCAACCCCACTGAAACTCACCCCGTTTTCTCCCCGACTATCCCACCCCTTGGCGCCATAACCGCTGATCCCCCAGGAATAAGGTAGAATAGTGCTCAGCTACGAAAGAGATGCAAACCGCACCCAGCCAAGCAACCCCTGCGCCGAGAAACCGATCCCCCACACACTCCCCCACCCCACAACTCCACAGAAAAACAGAGCAGGGCATGGGAGGAGTAACGGTAGCAACCCCACTGCTAAAAGCCCAACAGACGTTTACCATCAGCCGCTGGTGTCCATGATGTTGTCGTTGTGGTAAACAAGTGCCCAATGCTTGATGGACATAATGACGCTGTGTTTTTTTTTTTTTTTTTTTTTCCGTTTTTTTTTTGTGTTTTTGCTTCACTGCAGGCTACCGTCTTCCCCCGAACACAACGCACCCTCATTTTGGCGGTATCTGGCCGGAAATATAACTTGTATACATTCATTTTAAGGGTGCGTTATGTTCGGGGGAAGACGGTAGTCACTTACCGCGTTGGTAAGAGCATCCCCGTTAAGTGGACCTTGCGTCGAAGGCCCCGTCCATCGGTGGGGGCACCACCTGCTGGACCCCTTACACCTGCTGGATAGCGAGTCCAGCGTCCCAGTAGAAGACCAGGGATGAACGAATTGTCATGTTCACACATTGGCTGGTTGCAGTATGCCCTGCTGATTCCGGAGTGCCTGTAATGGGAAATCTGCACTATGATACTCCCAACTAATCTGTTAATATCACTTGTAGACCCTCTTCAGAGATCTGTGCACTGTGTTGGTCCCCGGCAGTCGTCCTGTGGGCGTCGCTTTCTTGGAATCTGGGTCCAGTGTTTCGCCTCTCAGCTAAAAGGGGAACAAACCAGAGCATTGATAATTACCAAAACCGTACTTCTATTGTTATCCATTGCCATATCTGTTTACATTCTTGACAAAAAGGTTTCTTAGGATTTCTGAAACGCACACACGAGTACTCAACACGTAAGCCCTTCGCTGGACCCGTTTTCCAGCAGGTAATGCTCCCCCCCAACCAATAGATGAGCGTCCAATAACAGGACTACTAGGGAAGCTTTGCTCACATCACCTATCTTTCACCTACCCCCTACCGGTAGTAGACTGAGTCTGAAACATGTGGAGATGTTGAAACTTGCAGGCTGTTGAATCAGCAGTACACCCGGGCCTGCAGGGGCGGCATTGCGCGGCAAGCTGTTTTCAATCGCCAGCTGCACACGTTTTGTCTTTTTTGCCAGGCACCAGCAGCCGTTGTCTTCCAGTAGCCCAGTAGCCCAGTAGCCCATTAGCCCGGTAGCCCCAAAGCTTCAGAGTTGACAACCTCCAATTTCTTACAAGGATGGGCCTGTGTACTGGCAGAGCCCGATTGGGGGACCATTCCTACTCCTTTTTCCACAAAGCCTTCAGAGTTGAAGGATGAATACCTTTGTGGAAAGGAGTAGGAATGGTCCCCCAATGCGAGAGCCCGAGTCTTCGGATCCCTGTCTGGCACGTGGTCAGACCAGGTTTATGGGCCTATTATGGGGTTTTCTCGTTTGCTGCTGGGGCTCCTTTCCGTTGGAGGGAGTGCATCATCTCTTGGCAACCGGGGTTAACCTACCACCAGAAAAGATTTTGGACGTTCTGGAAAAATGGGGTGAAGCAGAAGCTGAGGTTTACAAACGTCAGTGAACTCAATGTTTTCCTTGGTGTCAAATTGAAGTCCTTGGTATTTTCTGTTTAATATCAAGTTGATAGTCGCTGCTGCCATTTACATTCATGCAGTCCTTGGTTTCTGTTTGAAGCTTATGTCACCTCTCCTTTTCACATTCATGCACGGGGCTCTTTGCTGGGTATTAGACTCTATAAACTGTGTTGTTTTTTCATTGCCACGGTTGCTTTGAAAAAGCTCTCGTTCGAAGCTTCTGGTCTGAGACAGAAATCTGTCACTGTTGCAGGTGTTTGAAAATGGGTGGAAGGTATCCATCCTGTCATATCTCTGGTCGGAACCTTATCCAGTGTCACAATATATCCTCTGCGTACTGGGAAGTCTGTTTGTTCATTTCCCGGGCTTAGGAGAAGATAGCCTGCTACTACAGCAAGTGGCAGCCCCAGCCATAGCACCGTTGTGACGGCTGGGTATATCTGCTTTAATCCGCCAGCGTGGGAGAACATGTGCCCTTATGCAGTGTACTGAATATGATGGACAGCAGAACCTGCCTGATCACAGCGTGTCTGGACAGCACCCTGGATAACCCTGCTCACGGGGTCACCAGTAATTCCTACACCCCTTTTTTTTCTTCTTTTTTTCCTTTCTTTTAAGAGCTAGTAAGTCTCTTTTTCTTTTTTCTTTTAAGAGCTAGTAAGCCTGGCTAAAGTCAAAGACCTGGGATGATTGGCTCACCCGCTCCGTAAATTTTTATGGCAGGCTCGCGTCCCCGTAGATAGTACTTAAGACTTCCGCGATTTGTCCCATCGTAGAGTCTTTCTGCTAGGCTCTTTGCTCGGTAGTGCTGCCCATCATGCTAGTTCCTACCGACTATTCTCTGATTGTAGAATCTTAATATGTCAGCATGATCCATGGGGACTTTTCCGCAGTATAAGGGCACATGCAGATTGTAGAATCATGCTAGTTCCTTTTGCCGTGGGTATAAAGTCTCCTTTCATAAATCCCTGTTCTTGCAGTGTACCTAACAGTTTCCTGATGGGTGCATGCAACACCAATCTATACAAAGCGCTGGTGGTAGGCTGACACATGGCAGTCCTGGTACTGTAAGCCTGCAGTTGTGTGGCACACGAGGAAGCAGGCGGTTTCAAACAGCCTGCATTCCACAAGGTGAGTGGCGGAGGATGGAGCTGGCGATGAAGGAAGGAGGAACACCATGCTTCTCCGACTTGGATGATTGCAGCGTAGGGCTTACGTGGCATACCGATAGAGTGTTTCGTATTGTTTTGAACCGACACTTTGTGATGTGGTTGGGATGTGTCATAATCTTGGTTGTAGTTTATCCATTTACCATGTGGTGTACACTTTTTGCTTACTTCATACTTGTCATCGTTTATTTTGAGTTGCAGACACACACACAGAGAGAGAGAGAGAGAGAGAGAGAGAGAGAGAGAGAGAGAGAGAGAGAGAGAGAGAGAGAGAGAGAGAGAGAGAGAGAGAGAGAGAGAAGGGGCTGAAGGTTAGACTTTGACTTTTTGGCTCCCAGGCTGTGCACTCTTTGTTTGGCAGCCGGGAGGGCCACGACCAGTTTTCCAGGCGTAGGCCTTTGTTTTTTCGTTCAGCATTTATTTATTTAGCTCATTTATTTTCTTTTTCAAATGCTGACTTTTGTTTGGGACTGATTTGTCTGCTCTGTTTTTGCCTGCTCTGTTTCTGTTTGTCCCAGACGGTGTTGTTTCCTTTTGTCTGAACAGGCACTAGTGGATTCCAGTTTTGGCCGTTGCAGCGCAGGTTTGAGTTTCGTCTGCATCTGAACTGGATCAGGCACTTTTCTGTAGTGCCTGGCCAGTCCTCAGTCATGCTGGACCAGCCGTGCTGCATCAGGAGGGCCGCTTGGATGTTCGGTAGGGAGGGACCCACAGAGGCTGACTTATTCGAAAGATGCAGGGCAAGGACTTGGGCCTGTGACCAGGACCATTGACTGGACTCTAGATCAAATGGTCCTGCCTGGTTGCAGACCGAGGGTAGCTAAGACAGGCCCAGCGGTATATAGCTGGGCCAGGCCTTCAGTTTGAGGACAGAGTGATGGAACAGGCACACGAGTTGAGGGGCACGCTGAATGAGTACAGCAGCAGTTTGGGAGAGCTGCGGTCGAGTACTAACATTAGAGTAGGAGAGTAGTCTGGAGTTGTGTGAGGTTGGCGGTGGCCATAACCACGTGGGAGAGAGAGAGACTTACCCGGGCACCATAGCTGGGACTTCGGTACTGTCTGTTGCGTGCCTTCTTCAGGGATCTGCATCAGTTGAGCCATCATCCTCCGCTGGTCGGTATTAGTGGACACCATCATCAGGAGAGAGAAAGGAGAGTTCTTCTTCTTCTTCTTCTTCTTCTTTTTATTCTTCTTCTGACCCTCCATAGTCTCTACTTCCTTCCTCTTCATCCAGAAAGAGAGCTTGCGGAGTGACTTTTTGGGCCTGATAGTGCCAAGGATTCAGATTCAACATTTCGAGGGAAAGACTGTTGGACTCTGTTTAGGGAGACTATTGTCAACTAATTTAAGCTATTATTCCTGTCTCTCCCTTCCCTTTTATTTCCTTCATCTCCTCCCACCTGCATCATCCGTGGTTCTTCTACCCATGTGTGTCTGTCCAAGGAGGCACCTTCCGTCCAATGGCATGTATGTGTGCCCTCCTTGCCCTTTTACATGTGTAAAGATGGTTGTGTGTCGAGTTCTGAGCCTACTGAGTTGAATCATGTTTTGAGTCTTCCGCTGTGCTAGATTGCCTTATATTGTCTTGATTCATTTGATTGGCATTGCTTCTTTGCTGATCACATTGCTACCGTCTTCACCCGAAAATAACACCCGGGCATTGTAGGCGAAAATAGCGCCCGCTGGGTGTTATGTTTGTTTATAACGCCTGGGCCTTATATTCAGTAGATTGGAACGAACTTCATCGGGCCCCAAATTCGAAGGGCCGTTATAATCGAAAAAAGTGAGTTAAAACAGAAATCTGATTTTTGGGGTAAGTTGAATATCACGCCTGGGTGTTATTTATGGGTCAAGACGGCAGTCTTTGAGTCTTTCATTCACATTGGTGGTCTGTCAGAGTCTGCGCACTTCCTATCTGGTGATAGGCATGCATCACACACACACACACACACACACACACAACCAAAAAACTGTCTAATTATAAAATTGCTTTAATATTTTGGACATCTCAAATGCTCTCGTTGTCTGCAATAGGATAAAGACTGCTTTGATTCTGAATCTATTCACCTGGGTGGATTTTGGGCTGTTGTGGGGAAAATCTAAAACACACACACACACACACACACACACACACACACACACACACACACACACACACACAAATTCATGATGAGTTGCTGAAACTCCAACGAAACAGTCTCTCACAGTCATGCTTTTCTTGAATATATAGTGAATATGACAACACACACAGAGAGAGAGAGAGAGAGAGAGAGAGAGAGAGAGAGAGAGAGAGAGAGAGAGAGAGAGAGAGAGCATTGTGCCCAATGTGGAATGAAAGCCATGACCTATTGAGTGCTAAGCGGACACAAAACCAATAGGCTAAGTGGATGAAATACTTCACCCCACCCCAGCACAGAATACGTCGCAACCCAGTGTACCTAACCACGCTTATCACCATCAGTGATGCATCAACTCTCAGGGTTGACGTAGCCACTGCCACTCGTATCAGCTGATTGGAACCCGACCCTAAGCCCAGTGACTGCGTGCTTTGGAGTAGAAGACCAATCGCATTGTGCCCAATGTGCACCGAACACGAGACCTCCTTTAAGTTGCCAAGCAGACCCAACCAATAGGCTAAGTGTCTGGGGTGAAAGTGAAGTCCTTTGCTGAAGACCTTTGTTATGAACTTGGTTGTCTGACGATTTTCTCGCCACTCACACACAGAGAATCGCACACATGCCCATATATGTACAAGACACAGGGGTAGAGTGCCCTAAGACGTTCATTGCTTGGAGCGTGTACGGTGTGAACTCAGAGAGAGAGAGAGAGAGAGAGAGAGAGAGAGAGAGAGAGAGAGAGAGAGAGAGAGAGAGAGAGAGAGAGAGAGAGTGAGTTGTGCCCTGTTAAAAAAAAAAAAAAAATAGAAAGTATAAAAGGAAAAAGCACATCTAGTGTAATAAAAAAATAGGCAGGAATATAAACACAAAAGTATAAAATGAGAAATGACATTGTGAGGGGTTGGGTTTGTTAAAAATAAAGAAGAACAAAGTCCAACCTTAATCGAAGTTGGTGTTTTATTCATAGGTATATACGTAATAACTTGGTGTTTTATTTATAGGCATATACATAATAACTCATGTGATATTTATGTTGCATTATAGGTGATGTTATGTAGAACAAAGAAATATAAAAGAATTGGACGGAGGGAAAGGAGTGAACAATAATCAATGGACTTTTGAGAGGAAAAACTACAGATAAGTAGTATAGCAACAAGCGAAGACCAATAAATGCAGATTGACTTGAAACATCATACTGTACTCGAGGTTATGCCTTCAGAGAGGATAAATGACCATATAACACATGCTAAAACATCATGAGGTGAAGGTGAAACTAACATCGTCAAGATATGTACAGAGTGAAATGCAACTGCAAAGATTTAAGAGATGGCAAGAGCTGGCGAGAGAGAATTATGGCGAAAAAACATGATTGAGATGTATGGTGAAGTAAGAAAGTGTAGATTTGGTTATTGTAAAAGCAAACGTATTATGAAAATGACAATTGCACAAGATAGAGAAGAGTCGTCATCGCAAACCCCTATAAAGAAGATATTTTCAGAAGATGTGTTAGGTGGTAATGTCCTTCTTGCTCCTGCAAAACGTTTAAGAGGTACGAGGAATGGCACACAGGATGCAAAATATCGAGGCATGACATGCAGATCAAATAGGTGAGACGACGGGAAAGGATAATATTTGACGAATATGCAAAAGAATATATATATTTTTTTCAAACGTCAACACACATTCAATAGCAACAGAGCGGAATGACAATAAATAAATAAATAATATTATTTGACCATTCAGGGATGATGGGAATTAGTGGTATTGGTTCAAGGAAACTAACGAACATCAGAGGCGAGATTGCTTATGACATTGTTCGAGGGTTTTGGAGTGGTGTGAGACTTTCATGTTTGTGTGGCAGTTCAGTAGGCCACTTCAAGATAAAACGAGACAAGATGACGAAGAAAATTAAGGAAGACTCTTATTGGAGAGTGAAAGGTAGTGAGTCATGGGTTTAGAAGAGTTTAAGAACGTAATTGACGAGTTACTGTATAGAGACTACAAGGAACTGAAGCAAAAAGGTTGCACACTTCAACAATTGACTTTCGTTCACATGGTGTTTGACTGCCACATGAACAACAAGAGTCCTCTCAAAATGCTCAAGTTACATAAGAGATAAGATGGATTGAAAATGTCATCATCGTAACACATAAAACCAAAGTTGGAAAGATTTTCGTCAATATGATTCCTTTAGACAGAGAGAAGTGCGTTGTTGAGATCGTGATAAGAATTTGGGAAAGACGAGACTTTCTGGGAAGTAAAAGAACAAATGAAGTGTTAAAAATAAAAGATGATCATAAATTTCTTAGTATTTTTTACACCAACAATGTTGTAAATTTTTATGTGGACGATATGCATAACACGGGTGCTAGCCATGATGCGCAGGTAGGGCAAAGCACCATTCATTTGCAGAAAGATGGTACTCATGATGTTGTTCAGTCTCCCATAAGCAAGAAGGTGGACGAAGGTCATGAGTAGGTAGAGTGTTAAGTTATTGCGCATAAGATGTAAAACTTCAACATTTGTTTAGAGTGAACTCACTAAAGAGAAAAAAAAAAATTGAATGTAGTGGTTGATGTGAAACTTTAGGTTCAAACAACTCCGGCGCGAAGAGAGAGAGAGAGAGAGAGAGAGAGAGAGAGAGAGAGAGAGAGAATGAGAGAAAGATAAAATATGTCAAAGAGGTGGTAACACAAACATGTTACTTAGCGATAATTGGAACGAGAACATGACCATCTCTTCCACGACCATTGTGGGTATGCGAGTGTGTGTGTGTGTGTATGTGTGTGTGTGTGTCTGTGTGTGCGTGTGTTTATGTATCAATGTGTGCGGGTGTATGCGTATATGTCTGTGCAAGAGAAAAAAAAAGACACAAAAAACCTCAACATTAAGACTATTAGGGTATTGAAAGATACAAAAAACTGATCAGTGATTGTTTTTCGCATTCAATTATGTGTGTCAAGAATAACATTCATATTTGTTGTCCTTTGCCATTTCACTATCATTTTATTTTTTTTTCCCCACTATCATTTTTATGTGTAATGGATAAAAAATGTGTTTTATGATTTTATTGTTTTTAATGTTTTACACAACTTTTGCTTCAATCTTCGAGTATGTTTTTGTTGTCATCTTACCAATGAGCAAAAAAAAAAAAAACGTCAGGATTCAAATATGAATTCGTTTTATTATAAATAATTTGTATAAAATTTATTGGGTGTATAAGAATTATAGGGATGCTAACTACAAATTACTTATTTAAATATTTGATATAATCCTACTTTTGTGTATAAAAAACATTATTAATCTAATAATAGTAAAAATGTCACCACGAAATGGAGACTGAAAAAGGTGAGAGAAGTATATCATTTGTTTTTGACATAACCGTCATTTTTTTCAAAGCTGTCTCAGAGGCTAGATATATGGTCTTAAAATCTTCATGTCCACTAGATTATGCAATATGTTAAAACTTCTTGTGTTACTGTACGTGGTATGCGAGCCGACCACACCAAGGTGGGGAAGAGGGAGGGGGGGGGGAAGGGGGGGGGGGGGCATTGTACAAAAACAAAACTAGTATCTGTGCCGATATGTAAAATAAAGAAGTCCTCACTAGTGGAACAAACGTATTTATTGTACCCGCAATATCAACAAAAAAAAATGTTGTAAACACAATACACATGTATTTACATTCTTACTACGATATATATATATTTTATATACTGTAAAATGTATACCGCTTGTGCTTCTAGTGCGGATATTATTATCTGAAGTATTGATAGAGGTACTATTTTTATGAATATACGAGGTCCCCCCCCCCCTTTTTTTTCTCGACGTGATTATCCAACACATTTCAACAAGTTGTAAACAATAACTTTAATATTACTTTTAACTTCACCTATGATATAAACACAATTTAAGAATTGTTTAAAAAAATGAAGCAAAGGTTGTGAATCAACCCGATGAACTGAACCAATAACAATGAAATAACATTCATCTTAGAGGTTAAACATGTATCAGAACGTATTACAAACTCTATTTCAATATTCCGCTAATATTCTGAGAAATACCAGCACATCGGTATAAAAATTGTTTAGAAGAGTGAAGCAAAGGTTATGAATAAACCCGATGAAACCAATTACAATGAAATAACATTCATCATAGAGGTTAAACATGTATTAGAACGTACTACAAACTCTATTTCATTATTTCACTAATATTATAAGCAACAATAACACATTATTTGTCAACAACCTCTTGATGTTCATTGACATTGTAAGAAACAATCTGTAGACACAGAATAAAAACGGTTACAACAATCAATAAACATTTTGAGCAACATCTGGAACAACGTAGAGCGAACTTTGAAAGCAACTTTCTTAGATCTGAATGTTCATTGCTTATCGATAGATTGTAATACTAGTCTTGTGAAAACAATCATT